TTTTTGCTTTCTCTGGCATTGATTTCTCTGACGAAAATGCCAGAGAAATCAAAAAACATGCCCGAAAAATCAATCTGGTCTGTGAAGAGCCTGCGAGCAGACAACAGCCACGCTATCCTGCCCAGTGGCTAGGTCAATTCAATTCAATTCAATTTATTCAACAAAATTACCACATGTGGTGTAGTTGTACAATTGTGATCTGTGTCGAGCCTGCGAGCATACAACAGCCACGCTAGCCTGCCCGGTGGCTAGGTCTCTGGCCGCTTCTGTTCACAGCGCTGCAAGCAGACAACAGCCACGCTAGCCTGCTAGGTTGCTAGATCTGTGGCCACTTCTACACGCAGCGCTGCAAGCAGACAGCAGCCACGCTAGCCTGCACGGTGGCTAGGTCTGTTGCCGCTTCTGCTCACAGCGCTGCTAGCAGACAACAGCAACGCTGGCCTGCCCGGTGGCTAGGTCTGTGGCGAGCCTGCGAACAGACAACAGCCACGCTAGCTTGTCCGGTGGCTAGGTCTGTGGCCGCTTCTACTCGCAGCGCTGCGAGCAGACAACAGCCAATGCTAGCCTGCCCGGTAGCTAGGTCTGTTGCCGCTTCTGCTCACAGCGCTGCGAGCAGACAACAGCCACGCTAGCCTGCCCGGTGGCTATTTCTGTGTCGAGCCTACGAGCAGACAACAGCCACGCTAGCCTGCCCGTTGGCTAGGTCTGTTGCCGCTTCTGCTTACAGCGCTGCGAGCAGACAACAGCCACGCTAGCCTGCCCGGTGGCTAGGTCTGTGGCCGCTTCTGCTCACAGCGCTGCGAGCAGACAATAGCCACGCTAGCCTGCTAGGTGGCTAGGTCTGTAGCCGCTTCTTATCGCAGCGCTGCAAGCAGACAACAGCCACGCTAGTCTTCCCGGTGGCTAGGTCTGTGGCTAGCCTGCGAGCAGAAAACAGCCACGCTAGCTTGCCCGGTGGCTAGGTCTGTGGCCGCTTTTGCTCGCAGCACTGCGAGCAGATAACAGCCACGCTAGCCTGCCCAGCGGCTAGGTCTGTGGCCACTTTTAGCCCGCAGCGCTGCGAGCAGACAACAGCCACGCTAGCCTGCCCAGCGGCTAGGTCTGTGGCCACTTTTGCTCGCAGCGCTGCGAGCAGACAACAGCCACGCTAGCCTGCCTGGGGGCTAGGTCTTTGCCGAGCCTGCGAGCAGACATCAGCCATGCTAGCTTGCTCGGTGGCTAGGTCTATGGCCGCTTCTGCTCACAGCACTGCTAGAAGACAACAGAAACGCTAGCCTGCCCGGTGGCTAGGTCTGTGGCGAGCCTGCAAACAGACAACAGCCACGCTAGCTTGCCCGTTGGCTAGGTCTGTGGCCGCTTCTGCTCATAGCGCTGCGAGCAGACAACAGCCACGCTATCCTGCCCAGTGGCTATGTCTGTGTCGAGCTTACGAGCAGATAACAGCCACGCTAGCCTGCCCGGTGGCTAGGTCTGTGGCCGCTTCTACTCGCAGCGCTGCGAGCAGACAACAGCCAATGCTAGCCTGCCCGGTAGCTAGGTCTGTTGCCGCTTCTGCTCACAGAGCTGCGAGCAGACAACATCCACCCTAACCTGCCCGGTGGCTAGGTCTGTGGCCGCTTCTGCTCACAGCGCTGCGAGCAGACAACAGCCACGCTAGCCTGCTAGGTGGCTAGGTCTGTAGCCGCTTCTACTCGTAGCACTTCAAGCAGGCAACAGCCACGCTAGCCTGCCCAGTGGCTAGGTCTGTGGCTAGCCTGCGAGCAGAAAACAGCCACGCTAGCTTGCCCGGTGGCTAGGTCTGTGGCCGCTTTTGCTCGCAGCACTGCGAGCAGATAACAGCCATGCTAGCCTGCCCAGCGGCTAGGTCTGTGGCCACTTTTAGCCCGCAGCGCTGCGAGCAGACAACAGCCACGCTAGCCTGCCCAGCGGCTAGGTCTGTGGCCACTTTTGCTCGCAGCGCTGCGAGCAGACAACAGCCACGCTAGCCTGCTTGGGGGCTAGGTCTTTGCCGAGCCTGCGAGCAGACAACAGCCATGCTAGCTTGCTCGGTGGCTAGGTCTGTGGCCGCTTCTGCTCACAGCACTGCTAGAAGACAACAGCAACGCTAGCCTGCCCGGTGGCTAGGTCTGTGGCGAGCCTGCAAACAGACAACAGCCACGCTAGCTTGCCCGTTGGCTAGGTCTGTGGCCGCTTCTGCTCATAGCGCTGCGAGCAGACAACAGCCACGCTATCCTGCCCAGTGGCTATGTCTGTGTCGAGCTTACGAGCAGACAAAAGCCATGCTAGCCTGCCCGGTGGCTAGGTCTGTGTCGAGCCTACGAGCAGACAACAGCCACGCTAGCCTGCCCGGTGGCTAGGTCTGTGGCCGCTTCTACTCGCAGCGCTGCGAGCAGACAACAGCCAATGCTAGCCTGTCCGGTAGCTAGGTCTGTTGCCGCTTCTGCTCACAGCGCTGCGAGCAGACAACATCCACCCTAACCTGCCCGGTGGCTAGGTCTGTGGCCGCTTCTGCTCACAGCGCTGCGAGCAGACAACAGCCACGCTAGCCTGCTAGGTGGCTAGGTCTGTAGCCGCTTCTACTCGTAGCGCTTCAAGCAGGCAACAGCCACGCTAGCCTGCCCAGTGGCTAGGTCTGTGGCGAGCCTGCGAGCGGACAACAGCCACGCTAGCCTGCTCGGTGGCTAGGTCTGTGGCAAGCCTGCGAGCAGACAACAGCCACGATATATAATGACTGACATTAGTAAATGATACAAATAACGAAATTAAAGTTACGAGTTTGATTTCTCTGTCCTATTTGATTGATTTCTCTGGCGAGATTTTTTTAAACTTGTTTTTCTCTGGAACTATAAGTGAGAAACGAGGGCCAAAGGTATCATTTTTTATCTTTTGAGATATATTTTCAATATCCATTGGTATTATTTCAATTAACTCAAAATTCAAATTCGCCAGAGAAATCACGTGAATTTGCATGGTCCGGAGAAATACTCGTTTGTTGTTTGCTGAAAGCATTTAATTCATTATATTATTTCATGTTAAGATAACAATTACTTTTTGTATAATTTTTAAGTTTTTACCCTATATTTAGTTTTACAGTGCATAAAAGTTGAAGTGCAAACTCATTAAAGTTAAGGTGAATGTTGTTTATTGGGTGGTAAACAACAGCTAAAACTACCTACCTACTCATTTTAGGGCCAAATTAAAATGGTTTCTGCTTGACAATTTTTTAAATTATGTTGATCCCTCAAACGGGTAGGTAAACCAAGGCGCGACTTATGATACAGGCAGTTTATTTCGGCATTCATCAGTCATGCGATGATGTTAATCATTTTCATTTCACAGTGTTTGGAAACATCTATTCCAGCTATTCCATTGTTCTAAATCCTGACTGAATAATGACTACCCGTCCCAGACATGCTATCAAACACAAGATTGCTACAAGACTAACGTAATTACAAACTTCATTATAGTTGTATCTGTTTGTATAGGCAGCATGTTAATCCATTAGAGCTTAAAGGGTCTCCTTACAATAATATTAGACGTGCGTTGAACGCATGTTTAAAAATATTTTCTTAAAAAAAAAAAGCTTTAAGTGCATTTGACATGCGTCAAACTTTTATGGGGTAAACTGAAGATTTTCATGCTTTTATACGTATTTAAAATTGTACATTTTATTACATTTAAAAACAAAGCGGCGTCTAGAAAGTTTATTAAGGCATAAATTCAACTCAAGACATTGTTTGCAGCGTTCCCTGTGAATGCAATAATGTAGGTACTTACACTGTGCTCGCCAACCCTCTTCCCAGGCGTAGTGAGTATGGTTATTCACCCAATAGAGAAGGCCCATGTCTAACATAGTTTGAACTGTTGTGGACGTAAGGCGCTTTACAAACGTAGCTTCCGTTTGTGCGTTATTTTTGTGCAGCGAGCGCTATCTACTGGCATCCATTTCCACCTTATTTTATACAAATTACGGTTTGACGGACGCGAAAAAATATCCCACAACTATTTCAAATTATTTGACATAACCATATATTACATACGGACACGTTATGTGTGTAAAGCACCTTAGTATAAGCTTACTTGCCATATTGTGGCTTTAATCTTTTTCCTAGAGATAAAAAGGGAAATCCGAAGAAAGGTGGCATTAAAAATGTAACCTTGTTGTAGGTATTTTGTTTGCAGGACGCGGACAAGGGAGGTTCGCTGCGTTTTTGCTTCGATTGTTTTCCCTCGGGAAAGGACGGCTATGATGTACGATCTCATAATGTTTACTTGGACAACAAAAAGCTTTATATGAAACAAATAAATGGGACCAAGTGAATGAATGCCGGGAAATGCGGGATATATTTTCAGATAAAATTTTTGTGAAGTGAAAATGCAAGGTAATCTCACCGTTCATTTGCTCATTTACATTTTGAGTTAAATATTCATTAAATATTCAAAATTATTCGCAAGTCTGATGATAATTATTAAAACATTTATGACAAGATGAGTGAGCTTTAATTACTTGCGATTATAAATTTATAACTTCGAAGAATTGTTGTTGAATTCAAAGTATTTCTTTGAAGTTAATCTAATTCGCCGACCTTAACACGATCGATTAGGTACCTTAAGGCGCTCTCCAGCCATTCAAAGTTTGTTATCCCCAAAGACCTGCAATTTGACCTGAATATCCAATGACAACTAATCACTAAGTAATAACGACTTATTTACATAAATAGTTCTTAGTTGTAACTGTAACTATCTTGAACAACTGGCTAACTATTTGTAATTGGGTTTATTGTATTAGAAATTCTAAGGAAGGCAGGTAATCAAATAAAGTAGTTATTATTGTTCGAAGAATATTATAGTGAGTAGAGCAACTTTGTCACGCACTTACGTTTAAAATTAGGTATGGGTATGAACGTCATAAAATATCTACTTTATATTAGGATTTTTAATGCACTCACAGTGCTACATTATTCTCATAAATTGAAAATACGAAAATTTAAATATTCATTAGCGACCGCCGGAACTTAAACCTGGGACCTTGGGGTACCGTCCCAACGCTCTGCCAACTGAGCTACGGCCGCCTGGCAGACCTTGATGAATTTCTCAAACTCTTGATGCTCGTCTCAAAGCGGCGATTAAGCGACATATACCTAGTAGTAGTTTTTCAATTTATGATATTACCTACTTTAGTTTAAGATAATATCGTATATACATTTTTAAGAGAAACCAAAAAAATTGTAAATTCAAAGTTGAAAAACCACTCTCAAAATAGCCTCAAGAAAATATGACGCGGAATGGTTTCGGAAATAACAAAAATTAGAACACTTGATGCCGAACAAAAGTTCAACAACTTCGGAGAAAATGAAGTTATAAGAAGGAATAAAAAAACAGTAAGTTAGGAGTCCGCCGGAATTGAATTAGGGATGTTGTTTTTAGGCGAAAGGTAAAGAAAGGTGGGCCGTGGCCTCGGCTCTGCTGGCCAAGTAAACACTTGGTGTTTGATAGTGCCCTGGTACTAAGGAGAATGGATAGGGTAAAGTGGCCGATGTTATTTAAGTGAAACTACAAAGAACCAATTTTCTCTTCCATTCTTAAAGGTTTTCTTTAGCTACTTTTTTGTTGAAAATGGAACTAAACTAATAATACAACTGTAACCTCAGACAAACAGTTTTAGATAAACGCGTAATCTTAGAAAAGAAAATATCGTACAGAGCAAGCATACGGCCATAACTAGGCGCTTATTATTATTCGAGGCATCGTAGAAACGTATTGTACTGTTATTCTGTCGCAAATTGGCATAGAAACGGCGATACGGAGAGTGGTAATACGGTCGTAACCGCACACACGGCGTCTTTGGGAGTTTTAGCTGTTGGAAATCCTTGGCACAAGCTTTGGCAAGCGGTTTGCGGCAAAAGCAACTAAGGCAAACTGCTGCGAGCCTGGTAGTGACAGTTCTAGAACTAACACCTCATCTTGATTTTTGTATAAGTACAGTAAGTACTAGACTACTACAGTTTGTTAGGGACGAATAAACCTGATAATTTTTAAATTATTAACGAGTCTATGTTATCAAACGACCTTCTGACCTGTCGGCCTACTAATGATGGTGCACTTTACCTACTGCACCGAAACGTCAAGACTCCATAAGCCCCGACTTCTAAAAAAGGTAAGTCGTTTGATAACATACAAACTGATGATTATTATGAAGATACTCATTTATTTTTATGTACGTAAATTCTAACAAAACGGTTGGTGTGGCGTGTGCCTAATCGTAGACTATTGTGGCTGTTGACGATGAGTAATTGTTTTGCACCCATCAAAAGTTTCACAATTGATTATTATGTTATATCATACGAAATTGAAAGCTATTTGTAAGTCAATCTATATCCTGTTAATTTATACGTTTATTCTTTCATTTCTGCACGGACCGGTAAAGTCAAAAGCGGATATCTCGCAATAAATCATAACGAGCGGCCATAACGTAGTATATTTGTGCTACTATCTTGTTTATAGCTAATAAGATAGAAGCTATTACCCACACGCAGCCAATCAGGAACCCGTTACGTCAACTAATCTTTAGTCGGTGATAAACCAAGCCCTTTCCTGTGGGATTTTACTGTCACTATGAATCTCTTATCAGCACTTCCCACGCAATATCTGACGTAGTAATATCGTGTTGTATTGTGCAGATAGACAATGTTTACCAATACCAACTAATGGTAAGTACACATTGTTTCAGTGATTGAGCAGGGAGTTGTGTAATTTGCAATTACTGAATCAATCTTGTCTGCATTGAAGTATTAAACGACGATATGCAGAGCGTTAAAAAACGATTATTTTATAATACTTTTTAAATGTTAATATTTGTCGAAAACCTAACGAAAACTTTGTCATACAAATTAAATACGAGCGAAGTAAAACTATGGTGAATTTAAGTAAGAATTTCAGTAACGGTCTCCGTTCATTTTTAATATACTGCGTGCGAAGTAGCACACCACACAAATCCCATAACTCCGTGAGGAAGTACATACGTACGAACCACATAGTAAACCAAAAGGCTGGGCTTTTTTATCTGGTAGGAATTTTCGCTGTCACGTTTAACCCCTCATCGGAACTCCCGGGCTTGATAAAATTTTGATTTGTGCCCCGCACAAGCCATTACGGGCGTATCTCCGTGTGAATCTACAATCTGCACGTATATTTTGCCCGATTTTCCAAATGAAAATGAATATATCTTTGTTGAAGAAGAATGTATGTATTTCATGTATTATTCATAAGTTTCATCAGTGTACCGTTTTGTTAAGGTAGAGAGGTAAGGTAGGATTATTATATAAAAAAAATGGGGGAGAAAATAACAAGGACAGGTATTTTATTCACACGAAAATGGTAGAGCTTAGTGTGTGCTTGCGTTCGATTCGATATTTTTAAGTATCTCTCTTCGATGGTCTATGTATGATAGAGTTAGAAAACATTTATGAATTTTGAAATTACCTAATATCGTTTAGCATTGATGATTTTGGTATAAAATATTTTCTGCAGTTTCGTTTGCTTTAATTGTTTTCTGCAGTTGGCAAAATATATGTAGGGTAAAATTGTTTCATTTCTATATAAATTTGCAAACAGGTTATGATTACGTTACTAGCGTAACGTTACCATAATTTTTGCTTACAGACCTACAGACATTTTTATTTACTTCTACCTAGTGGTGTTAGCTACCGTCACGTTATCACAACTCTTTTTGGCATTCATTCCTGCTGTTTTAACTTCCAATACAAACTTCAAGCAATAGTACCTATCGGTGGATATTGAGTGTGTTTAAAGGCCAATTTTAGCGGAAATACAACCACTGAAACTTAATACGTTGCGTATCGATATCAATCAAATTGGGGTCAGTCTTGAGAGGTCGGCCAGTCTTGTCCCAAGACACCTCTTATCTATATCTGCCGTCCAATTTGTGGATTGCTAGTTTCCTGGGAAAATTAATCGCAGAAGCGTTTATAACAATCTTGGAGTTTTCTTGGAAAATGTAAGAATAAATATTGAAATATGTTTTATTAGTTTGATTTTAAAAAGAAAACACGATCGCAGGAGAAAAATATATATCTTGTTGTCGAGGATATAAGAAACTCAAATTCGCTTTCAGTTACACAATCAGATGAAGTTCCTTCGATAGAAAATAAAAACAAAGTAATTTCTATTCGAGAGTTATTTTTAATACTATTTCACAAGTTTTGAAATTATTAACAAATTTTTGATGCTAAAATTTATAAAATATTTTTTCAGTTGGAAATCATTGATGATGCAATAATATCTTTCTATTTGTTTTGTCGAAAAAAAAACGAATAGGTAGGTAGTGATAGCTGGTTGTTTCTTTCTGGCACAACGCAGATGAAAGAGACTAACTTTTCAAGAACCTTTTCGAGGTCCTTAAAAGTTTTATGGTACATGAATCAATAAATTGAATAAACCCAACCTGAAATCAGTTTTGTTTTACTGTTCGGTGTAGTAACCAAATGGAGAGTGTAAAATCATTAAACAAACACAAATAACTAAGTTATGGAAACGCTTTGTGTTCTGTTTTGCTCGGCACAAAAATAACAAAAAGTTTACACATTTTGCAAGAATAATACTGAACTACTGGTAACCTTTTTTTTTTGGGGTGGTTGGGGTCTACCTCCTAGCGGTCCACCCCGGGCAACGTCCTCACAATATGTGTTGGCGGCTGAAGATCCCAAAAGCGGTGGTAGGCCCTGAAGAGGGGCCGCCTGGCTCGCGACCACCATCCCGCCGGAGTCCGGCGCCAAACAGCCTTGCTGTGTTCCGTCGGTGTGCGGGACTGCCAGTGCCATTGGGGGGTAGCAATGTAGTCAGTTGCGCTGCCGGAACCGGTCTTTGTCTTTAGGTGATGCTGTATCCGGTAACTCGTTTTGGAGGGTAGCGGGATCCGAGGCACGGTCTCAGCCGTTGGCCGACCGCAGTCAGTAGGGGGCCCGACTTGCGCGCTAGCCACGCGCAAAGGCTGCCCCGCCAACTGCGAAAAATCCCGGTATACTCCACCGTGCCAGTTGGCGGCTGGATGGGAGGACCCGGTGGAGTCTTATCGGGGGGGCTCGGGCGTCCCCGCAGTCTCCAAACGAGTTCCCTCTCTGATCAGTTGAACCGAAATGTACGAGTAGGGTTTCTAAGCAGCGCCTCGACTATCTTTTCTTTCCCCCACAAAAACTCTTAAAACATGAAAAAGCTAAAAAAGAAGAAAAAGTTTGACCAACGGCAACACTTCCTCCCACTCAAAGTGCACCTCACGAACATCCGAGGTCTACACACAAACCTAGACCCGGTCCATCACCACCTGGAGACCGAGAAGCCGCACTTATTCTTCTTAACGGAGACGCAGATAGCAACACCGTTGGACGTGGCATACCTCAACTACCCTGGTTACACTCTTGAGCACAAGTTTAAGAAGCGTGCAGGGTCTGTGTGTATGTTCGCGATGACGTTTGCTGTAAGCGTCTCCGTGGCTTTGAGAATTCAGGGTTTCCCGTGCTGTGGCTTTTGGTTGACACTGGAGTAGAAAACTCTCTACGCCAGTGTTTATCGTTCGCACAGCGGAGATCAGGAGACGACTAGACTCATGGAGTACCTCTCTGAGACGGCAGATACAGCAATTCAGCGATATCCAACAGCAGAGCTTGTTTTTCTGGGGGACTTCAATGCTCACCATAAAGAGTGGCTGTTCCCATACCAGAAAACTGACCATGCTGGGCGAGAGGCGCGTAAACTAGCATTGGCGCTAGATCTCACCCAGCTGGTGGAACAAGCGACGCAAATACCAGATATCACAGACCACACACCCAATTGCCTGGACCTTCTGCTGACAACTGATCCGCACAGACATTCGGTTTCGGTCTCGGCTCCGCTGGGATCATCCGACCACTGTGTGGTGAAATCCGTGTCCATCTGCTCTCCTCCGGATTACACACCTAGGGGCACGAGGAGAGTATGGCGATACGAGTCAGCAGACTGGGACGAGATGCGTGCTTTCTTTGCTTCATACCCGTGGCGGCAAATGTGTTTCTCTTCG